GCCCCTCCGCGCAGTCCCGCTTCCCTGCGCACTCGCGTGCCCCCCGCGGCCCCTCTAGTGCGGCCGCCGGAGCGGGTCCCCGCGAGTCGGCACGATGCTCCCTGGCGGCTTTGCCACAGGGCTTTGTGAGCACAGTGAACGCTGCCGCCTGGACCCTCGCGACTCACCCGGACCTGCCGCGGTGGCCTCGCCTCTGGGGGGCTCCCCCGCCTGAGTGGGGGGGACAGGAGGGTCCGCCCCGCCCGCCCCACCCGCCACCAGCCAGTGGCGGCGGGCAGCCCGCTGCTGCAGCCCTGACCACACCGCCCTTGTGCTGACGCTCCATTCCCCAAACTCGTTCCTCAGGGTCCCAAAGGTGCCCCAGGACCCGCAGGACCCCCGGGCGACCCCGGGCTGATGGGCGACAGGGTGAGTGAGGCCCCGGCGCTGACCCTCTGCCCAGTCCCTGGCCCCCCGCGACCTGCGAGCGTCGCCTGCAGAGGGGCCTGAGCACCGCGGTCCTGGCTGCACAGCCTCGTGGAGCCGCGGTCACTGGGCCCCGGCCCCACCCAGGTCCAGCCCACGGGCCATCTGCCCATCCTGGGCTGAGGCTGGGGGTGGTCCCAGTGGCCAGACTCAGTCCCTCTCCCCAGGGTGAAGACGGCCCCCCTGGAAACGGCACTGAAGGGTTCCCCGGCTTTCCTGTGAGTGGCCCCCTCCCCCTTGGCTCTGGGCTCAGCTGGTGGCGGCCTGGAGCAGCTGGAGCAGGCCCTGGACGGCCGCCTCAGCACCGCCTCCGCTGGAACGCGGCGTGACTGTCCCTCTCCCCACAGGGCTACCCCGGCAGCAGGGGCCCCCCCGGGATAAACGTGAGTACAGGCCTCCTGCAGCACTCCGCACACACAGCTGTACACGCACACACAGAGTGCACACACTGCACATGCACACTGCATGTGCTGCACGCACACTGCACACAGACGCTGCGTACAGACCCTGTAAATGCACACACTGCACACGCACACTGCAGACACAGCACACTGCACACGCACACTGCACACACACTGCACACGCACACTGCACACACACTGCACACGCACACTGCACACGCACACTGCACACACACACTGCA